CAATTAGGTCTACATTCACTTTGGTAATTTAGTTTCGATTGAGGCTAAGGTAGGTAAAATTTGAACTAATCAATCTCTGTGGGACGATATTCAGACTCATTGAATCCACTTTATTACTTGTTAACGAACCGTACACTTGCAGTGGTTTAAAATCGAAAGAAATAATTTCGCGAACAAGTTTTTGTCGCCGTTGCTGGGGATTGAGTTTATTTTAATTTTATTTCTCGAGGCACTAATTCGAACTCAATTTTTATTTTGCTAGCATAATGTTGTTTTTTTTTTAATTTTTATTTTAGGTTATTATCCTTTATTTGTGTTTTAATTATTTAAATTGTTTGAATCTCAGTGCTCGTACTGGTTTTAATTCTCAGATTTGCATGTCACGATTGTCTGGAGGAGAATTAATTCCAGCTGATCCTAAATTGAGCGCACCTTTCATCGACGACAAAGAGATCACCGCGAAGCACAAGTACAAATGGCCAACGAATTAAACAATCCTATTATTCAAGCTAACGAAGGAGAGGCGGTGGATGAAGGAAATGAAATTCTGGGGGACTTCATGACTCCTCAAGTTATTCAAAGCCAATCCAGCATTGTATATCCACCGTTTGGGCAGCCCAACTTTCAATTGAAGACCAATGTAATACAGCTGTTTCAAAATGGATACCAATTCTATGGCAAAGTCGAGGAAAATCCACACACACACGTATCTCGATTTCTAGATATGTGTCAACATTTCAGATACCAAGGGATTTCGGATGACGCTATCAGGTTAAGGCTTTTTCCACATACGTTACGAGTAGAGCACTTGAATGGTTGGATTCACTCCCGGTTGCAAGTATCACCACATGGAATGAGCTGGCACACAAATTTTGCACAAAGTTTTTCTCCCCAGCCAAGATAGCGAAGCTGAGACATGACATATCAGTATTCAATCAAGGAGAAAATGAATCATTTGACGAAGCATGGAACAGATTCAAAAACATGCTCCGGAAGTGCCCTCAACATGGGTTCGATAAAAAGACCCAAATCTGATTCTTCTACACAGGTTTACTTCCATACCATAAGAGCATGGTGGATTCAACATTAGATGGCTCAATATCCACACAAACAGTTGATGGGGCATTGGAATTATTTGAGCGTATGGCTACCATATCAGCCATGTGGTCTTCTGAGAGGGCTATCCCAAAGAAAACTCCAGGTGTCTACGAGGTGGACGCTTATTTAGCAATATCTGCAAAAATTGACTCTCTGTATCACAAGATGGAAAGCATATCACAAGCATCACAAGCTAAGAAGAGCAATTGTGATGAATGTGGAGTCGAGCACAAAACATCAGATTGCCCAATACTCATGCAAGGAATTGAGCAAGCAGATTACGCACAGTGGAGACAACGCCAGCAACACAATCAATATGGAGAGACTTTTAATCCCAGCTGGAAGAAGCATCCCAACTTCTCTTGGAGCAACCAGAATCAGAATAAGCCACAGGGGCAATTTCAACAACAAGAGAAGAGGCCTCAATTGGAATATATGATAGGAAAATTCATGGAGAAGACCGAAGCTACACTTCAAAATCAAAATGCAGGCATCAAAAATTTGGAAACTCAGATGGGGCAGCTAGCCATCGCATTGGCTGGCAAAACGCCAGGTAACTCACCAAGTAATACAGAAATCAATCCTAAAGAGCAAGCCAAGGCCATTACAACTCGAAGTGGAATACAATTGCCTGAAATCCATGTCAAGAGACCGGGTGTGATTGGAGAAACATCTTCCCCCGCTGAAGAAGAGACTGTTGTAAAGGAATCAAGTTCAAAGGAAAATTCAGATGAGTCACAAGATAAGGCCAAAGTCACAGTCAACCCCTACGAGCCTCCGATTCCTGAAGAAGCAAAAAGTGGAGCGACAATACAAAAAATTTCTAAAAGTCTTCAAAAAGCTCCATATCAACATCCCACTAGCTGATGCACTGTTTCAGATTCCTAGCTATGCGAAATTTCTAAAGGATATCATATCAAATAAACGCAAGCTGGAAGACCATGAGACAGTTATGCTTATGGAGGAACGTAGTGCCAGAATCCAGAATAAGCTTCCACCAAAACTAAAAGATCCAGGGAGTTTTACTGTTCCTTGCAAAATCGGTGAAGTATATTTCGATAAAGCATTATGTGATCTCGGTGCAAGTATTAATTTAATGCCTCTGTCTGTTTTCAGGAAACTCGGCTTGGGAGAAGCTAAAGCAACTACTGTGACACTTCAGCTGGCTGACAGGTCACTGACACATCCCAGAGGAATAATTGAAGATGTGCTTATCAAGGTTGAGAAATTTATATTCCCAGTGGATTTTCTTATCCTGGACATGGAAGAAGATAAGGACGTCCCATTGATACTTGGCAGACCATTTTTGGTAATAGGGAGAGCGTTAATTAATGTTCAAAAGGGTCAGTTGATTTTAAGATTGGGAGAGGAGCAGATATCATTCAATGTATTCAGGGCAATGAAACTACCAGCAGAGTCTGACAGCTGTTATCAAGTTGACATTATTGATAAGGCAGTACAGGAAACATTCCTACTACACGGTCCATCTGATGCCTATGAGGCATGTATTGCACAATCCCAATCATGCAAGATTTTTGGAGACCAACCCGCCATACACCCGAAAGAGGCACTTCGAGGAATTGGGGATGGGAAATACAATGCCACTGTCCTCCATTCAAAAGCCACCAGTTTTGGAACTCAAGCAACTACCGCCACATCTCAAATATGCATATTTGGGGGAGTCAGATACACTTCCAGTAATCATTTCGAATACAGTTAGTGAGGTGGAGAAAGAAAAATTGTTCAGGGTACTCAGAGAGAACAAAACGACAATTGGGTGGACAATAGCTGACATTAAAGGAATCAGCCCTTCTCTGTACATGCATAAAATTCTAATGGAGGAAAACTGCAAGCCAAGTATAGAGGGTCAGAGAAGATTAAATCCGAATATAAAGGAAGTGATCAGGGCAGAGATACTGAAATTACTGGATGCAGGAATTATTTACCCAATTTCAGATAGTGCATGGATTAGCCCAGTTCAAGTGGTACCTAAAAAAGGGGGAATTACAGTGGTGAAAAATGAGAAAAATGAATTAATTCTCACCAAAACAATTACGGGATGGAGAGTTTGCATCGACTATCGCAAACTCAATGCAGCCACACGAAAGGATCATTTTCCCCTCCCATTCATTGATCAGATGTTAGAAAGATTGGCTGGACATTCACACTACTGTTTCCTTGATGGATACTCGGGCTATAATCAGATACCTGTCACACCAGAAGATCAGGAGAAGACCACTTTCACCTGTTCCTATGGTACTTTTGCCTATCGTAGGATGCCTTTTGGTCTTCGCAACGCTCCAGCCACATTTCAGAGATGTATGATGGCTATATTCTCCGATATGATTGAAAGGTTTATTGAAGTTTTCATGGACGACTTCTCAGTGTTTGGATCTTCATTCGATGAATGTCTAGAATACCTGAATTTGGTCTTACAAAGATGCAAGGAGACTAACCGATTTTAAATTGGGAGAAATGTCACTTTATAGTGCAAAAAGGCATTGTACTTGGGCATCGAATCTCAGCAAAAGGAACTGAGGTGGACAAGGCAAAAATTCAAGTTATTGAGAAGTTACCACCACCTACATCAGTTAAAGGAGTTCGTAGTTTCTGGGAGCATGCGGGGTTCTACAGGAGATTTATAAAAGATTTCTCGAAGGTCACTAAACCGTTATGCAATCTGCTAATGAAAGGCGTAACCTTTGAGTTTAATGAAGAATGCCTCACAGCATTCAACACTTTAAAGGAGAAGCTTACGACAGCACGAGTAATTGTGGCACCAGACTGGGAACTCCCTTTTGAATTGATGTGTGATGCAAGTGATCACGCTGTGGGTGTAGTATTAGGACAGCGGAGAAGCAAAATCTTTCACGTAATTTACTATGCAAGTAGGAATCTAAATGAAGCGCAAATCAATTATGCCACCACTGAAAATGAGCTATTGGCTGTAGTATATGCATTCGACAAATTCAGGTCATACCTTGTCGGGTCTAAAGTCATAGTCTACATAGATCATGCTTCATTGAAGTATCTACTCACAAAGAAGGATGCAAAGCCGAAGTTGATTCGTTGGGTGTTATTGCTGCAAGAATTCGATATCGAGATACGAAACAAGAAGGACAGTGAGAATGTAGTAGCGGATCACCTATCCCGATTAGAACCTGGGGAGACAGAAGAATTAGTGGACATCAATGAGATCTTCCCAGATGAGCAGATGTTGAGAGTAGATGAAGCACCTTGGTATGCAGATATCGTCAATTACTTGGCCAATTCCATCCCACCACCGGACTACTCGAGTCACCAAAGGAAAAAGTTCTTCGTCGAATTGAAGTATTATTTTTGGGAGGACCCAATTATCTATAGGTGAGAAGCTGATCAGATAGAAAGGAGATGCATACCTAAGGAAGAAGTATATGAGATTCTCGAGCACTACCATTCATCTGCATACACAGGGTACTTTGGGGCTTCAAAAACAGCTGCAAAGATTGTACAATCAGGGTTCTACTGGCCTACACTATTTAGAGACACATTTAAGTTTGTTAAGAGGTGTGACCGATGTCAACGCACTAGGAATATCTCGAGGAGGAATGAAATGCCACTGAACAACATTTTGGAAGTGGAGATATTTGATGTTTGGGGAATTGACTTCATGGG